ACAGATCATGAGGGACCTTATCAGCTATAATTAGACATTTGGCCTGTATTCTGTGTGCAAGTGGCTCTCTCTTCCTCTTTCTCTTTCTTTCTCTTTTTCATGTTCTTTCTTTTCTTGGGTTGCACTTTAATTTTTCTCTTTTTCTTTCTTTTTTTTTGTTTATTTTGCAGTCCTAGAGTTTGAACCTGGGGGTGCTTTACCACTGTACTATATCCCAGGCCTTTTTTCTTTTTTAAATTTATAATTTTGAGACAGGGTCTTGCTAAGTTGCCCAGGGAAGCCTTCAGCTTGCTGAGGCTGGCTTTGAACTTGGGATCCTCCTGACATGTTTTAAAAGGAGTGTATTTGACTTCATTGAACACAAATAATGCTTATGCAAATGTTTTATCTTGTCTCCTGGGCCACACCTTTGGTTTTTCCCTACATTTTTAGCAATGATTTACCTCAACAGTTTTCATGTGGGTTCAGAGGGGTGGTCCAGCAGACAAAGAGTACTGATCTGTCTATCTGGCGTGACTTTATACTCCTTCATGTACCAACTAGCATTTGACTTCTATAATCCCTAGTTCCCCAGTCTGCCCAGTGAGACCGGATAGTGCCTACCTATGGGCTTCCTGAGATGATCAAATGAGCTAACCCACAAAGGACTTCCAAAGTCCAGATATAGGGGGGGATGGGGGTAGTCTATGACGGTTATTTATCAAAATCCTGATTTAATTGTTATTAGCTGTTATAACTCTTGTGCTGGTAAGTTCTCATGCCTCTCTAGATCACTCCTGCCCCTGAGAACACCAGTCTTCCTTTCCTAGAAACGTAACAACAGGGCCTGGCCTAGGGGGGCAGCAACAGAAGATGCAAGTGGGCGGAGGGCAAGGAAGGATGGGGAGTTGGTTCCCTGAGCTCAGGGTTGCTGGGTTCCCTTCCTCTAATGAAGGCAGCCTCTTGTCAGGCAGCTCCTCCCACCTTTTTGTGGTTCTTGGAGGTGCTGCCTCTTCTTGCCTCCTGAGGTTGGTATGGCAATCGGTCCCTATTGCTCAAGCCCCGTGGTTTCCTTTGCACCTATGACAACGGCCTTTTCATTAGATCATCTCCCAGTAACCCAGTGTGAATGTGCCTTCTGTTTCTCCTTGGAACCCTGTTTTGGGATAACTTGCTTTGGGTTTGGGAACTGCTGGTTTAAAGTCCAATAAGAACCCATAGTGGTCAGGAAGCCCTTGTCCCCTGGTCAGCACTGAAACATTCACTCGCAGGTGATGGCTTTCTCATACACACACAAAATCACTTCTTTTTTTTACTCTTCAAGAAGCTTTGAAAATTTCAAGGAAATTTGTAAATTTAATGGACAACTTGACCATACTCCACACTAGAAAATGACCCAGGCAGAAAACTGGGTTGTCTCAGGTTTCCTGCAATCCAGGGATCATGAATCAGAGCAGTCAGCTGGAGGCTGGGAGGGACATTGGCCAACCAGTGCAGGTGTCGTCACACCTTCCCCTCCAGAGTCTCTCATGGGGTGATAAGTGAGCACGTCCTATGTGCCAGGCACCATTCTAGCAGTTAATATAGGCTTAAGCAAGGCAGGCAAACCCCTGCCCTCATAGTGCTTATGTTTTATTTGGAAAAAGGGGATAGGGGAGATAGACAATTAAAAAAAAGCAAGATAATAAATTCACAAGCTAACTTCAGGTGTTGTGGGAAGAGTGAAAGAGGACCCTGGAATACAGAACGCCTTTGTGGGGGAATCAGGTTGTGTTCCTTGGGTAAGGTGGTCAGAGTGGGACTCTCAGAAGAGATGACTCCTAAAGTTAAGAATGAAAAGAAAGGGCTGACCATAGAGGAATATGGGGCGCAGTGAAGAGTGTGTCAGTGAAAGGACAGCCAGCGCAAGGTCAGAGAGAGATTTAAGGCATTAAAATGCCTGCCTTGCTTAAGCCTATATTAACTGCTAGAATGGAGACAAAGTCAGGGATGATAGATAAACAAAATGTTATGTCTGAATTGTCCAGGACAATGGCCTAAACAGGGGTTACATTAGAGAGATGCTATCTTTCTCCAGCATCTTTTATACCTGGATAACCTACTTGGAGCTAGTTCAAGATACAAAAATTAGTAATTCATGCCTCTATCTCCAAAAATCTCAGTCTAATACTACTGTATTAGGGAAGATATCTGCATTGGAAATAAGAGTATCAAAATGAGAAAAATGAGTAGAATTGAAAACAAGTGGTAATACTTGGGAGATGATGTTGATTTAGATACAGAATGGATACAGATATGGATATGTATGCACACCTGATGAGGATCTGGGTGCGTATTGGGAAAGTCAGTGCGGTGCGTGCAGTGTTTCCACACCCTCTCCTCTGCACAAGAATGGCCTTAGGCCTGGAACACTTCCTCATCCAGAAATGAGGAGTCCTCAGTCTACACCAGGCTTACCCCCTGGTGTGGCAGTATTCCCCAGTCTCACTGCTTTAGCTGCTAGGAGGTAGCGCTGGGTCTTGGGATCAGCACCCACTACTGGAGCTGACCTGGTGAGTATAGGGCCTATCTGTCTTGTACTTCTAGTACCAAGACAAGGTGAGCTGGACTTCTACTGATCATAGCAACAGATGCTACTTGCCCAATAAGGTGGTTGCAGATATATAGATACAGATATGAAAGGAAGAAGGAAGGGATGGAGGAAGGAGGGAAAGGAGGAAGAAGAGAGTGATTGAATGAGTGAACATGGGAAAAGGAGGGAGACGTCCTGGGGTAGGTGGATGAGGAGGGGCTGAAGAGGCCCTGAAGAAGGGAGGTGATGTAGAAGACATCTTCACCTCTGAGAAGACACCAACTGGGCTGGAGTAAAAGATTTTTTCACAAAAGTGAAAGCTAGAAAGTAACAGAAGATGGAGGATTTGGAATTCATCCTGTGGGCCTGTCATGCTATTTGTACTTACCCAATTAACAGACATTTCTAGAGCACATCAGGATTGGCAAAGCCATCCACAGCACACCTGACTTCATGTAAGCATATATGATTTCTCCAAATCTGGGGGAGCTCAAGTGCAGAATGTGGGGTTCACTTGCCCTCTTTCGGTGTCTATTTTGAGATCAGAGGTTGTTTCTTACACAATCTGTAAAAACATGAAAGGGTCATTTTAGGCTCTGAGGGGGAGAGGAGTTAGTGGGGTCCCAGTGATGGTTAAAATGTCCCAAGTTAATTGCATTACTATAATATTTGAAAATGTTAAAATTAAAATATAGAACAAGCAGGAAGGTGTAGAAAAATAAAATTAGTTTAGATGTCTAAACCCGAGTGGCAGAAAAACACCAACCTACAGATTATAATGACCCTCAAAACTTCTACTGATGAACTGTTCAACAGATTCTGTGCAGCCTCATGATCAAATCCAATCACAGTTCATTCAACCACAGATGATCTTCTCCGGGTACTATTTGCCAAAGGAAGCTTTGGAAAATACTGATATACACCACTGAATAGAGTCATGATGATTTAGACCTGGACATTTTTCAAAGCAGGACTGGCCAGTTATATTTAGGGAACCCCTTAAAACTGAAGAAAATATGTCAATGATGTATCATGGAACATGTGTTTTCAACAATATAACTAGCCAATGAGACTTCCAGGTTGAATTAGTTGCCAATTATGTCACTAAGGTTACAGGGTACGGGGTGGACCTTGAGCCATTGTGAGGGTTGAGGGCTGAGACAACTGCATTTTTTGCATTTTTGTGGTTCTCAGCCCAAAGTAAAGTTTCAGATGTGTGGATATTAAGTCACCCTTGCTGCCCTAATTACAAGATTATTCGCCTGTTGAAATAACAACTTCAATGAAAGAGGAAATATTTTTTCTCCAGGCTCCATGCGAAAGTGAGATGGGACACATTTTTTAGTTGTTCCAACAATGACAGGTACAGTCGAGTACTAGCCTTTGCAGCCCTGAGTCACATAAAGGGACCTTGTTGATGGTGATACCAAGAGAAGGTGGAAGCTCTTTTAAAAAGGACAAACTGGGCTGGAAGAATCCCGTTGTGTTTGGTTTGGTTTAGAAAGTGTAATGATTCAGAAGAGCTTTGAAAATCAGGGACTGAGTCTATTTTGCTTCCCCCTGATGCAGTCCAATTGACTTGCATTTGAGGTACTGGGAAGGTGCGTACCTAGCCCTGATAGAGATTGTCCCGTGTCCTGCAAATTGACCAAGGACAGTCCCCCTCTGCACTGCACAGGCAACATCTTGCAATGTGCAGCACTTGGGCTAGGATTTCAACCTGGTCTAGGCCACATCTCCTGCACATTCATCTAACGTCCACCTCCCTGCAATGTTCAAAATTCCCCCTGAGCTGTTAGACCCTAAGCATCCCCAGGTTGAAAGCCCAGGGACTGTGGAGTAGGAAAATGTGACTCCATTTTCTCCATATATATATATATATATATATATATATCTTCAAAAAAGCAGGTGCAAATCACAACTGAATTGGAAACCCCAAAAGAAGCCAAAGCAAATCAACTTAACAACAACAAAATAAGCTTATTATAGCAAAACCTGGAGAAAAATTTCAGTTGTGGCACCTCGAGGCAATTACTGACTCCCTGGTTGATTTCAAAGCCCCCTCAGGACCGCACGTTGATTGAATTCCCACGACCCAGCCTCATGTGAGGGCTGAGTGGGCTGTTACGAAGCCAGACGTCTGTGGTTGTAGGTAAATACACTGATATCCTAGCAACGTGTAAAACCACAGTACCTCAGGCAGCGCTGGTTTTGCATTTTTAAAATAGAGGAGCAGATTTGAAAAGGGGGCTGAGCAATGTTTTGAGCCAAAGAAGTTCTTGGTAAAAACATTTATTTCTTTCTGGTCATCTTTGGGGGACTCATGGAAGTCAGACTCATCTGCCCATTCAGCCTTCCGGTGTCTTTTTGAAATTCGAAGTTTTCTGTCTTTCTTTAAAAATGTAGGAACCCATATTATGCATTTATCTAACTTTCAATGACTGCTTAGTTTCAGGTGCTGTATCCCCGTATGTAAATAGTGTGTTCAAGATGCAGTTGGCAACATCCAGACTGGATCCACTGCCTTCTGCCCTGTCCTTGAAATTGCCCTTTCTTCTGCCTGGACTGCATATCCACAGCTCCCTTGCTCCTCTCTGATCCACAGCCAAGATGCCCATGCCTCTGAGATGCTCTGAACTTCAATCATACACCCATTTTTACCTATATGGGATCATCCCTTCTTCCAGACACGTTCCTCCAGTCTGGAATAGTTCTTGGTACATGGAAGCATACAATCATTACTGGTGGGATGAATATATAAATGAATTCAAGAAGAAGGTGCAACACTGTGAAACCTCGATGTGGTTGATGTCTCCAGTGTTTCTGGGCTAAGTAACCTGGCTGAGCCATTTCGCCTCCTAAGACTCACTTTTCCGTCTGTAAAATGGAAATATGATCTATTTCACATTGTTGTGAGAATGAGCAAATTCTTAGTAAGTAAGTGCTTATCAAAATGACTGCCAACTGGATAAGGTTTCACCAATAGTAGCCATTAGGACAGTTGTCACTAAAACACATCTACTGAGTACCAAAACGTGCCAGAAATGTGCTAGGTACCTAGGGTAAAGCATGGTTAGGGTAAGGCATCTGCTTTCCATGAGCTCCCGACCTGGTAGGGAAGACAGATAAGGTAACAGATGTAAATAGATTGTCTCGCGGAACCGGGGTTGTAACTTAGTGGTAGAGCGTTTGCCTCACCCATATGAGGCACTGGGTTCGATCTTCAGCACCACATAAAAATAAATAAATAAAGTAAAGGTATTGTGTCCATCTTACAGCTAAAAATATTTTTTAAAAAGACTGTCTTGCAAGTAAGCGGGGATATTAGGAGCACAGGGCTGGTGGGTGGGGGTGGTTAGAAAGGAAAGTACAAGTTGAAAAGTTTAAGCTAGAGTATTGTACAAGGTTTGGTGAAGGTCATAGCAGGAGGAGGGAAGGAGGGCAGGGATGGAAGCCATAAAGGGAAAGGTTGAAAGGGGAGATCTGAAAGTCTTAGAGCATGAGAGGGAGTGGGCAAGAAAGACCAAGGATGGCCTGGTGGAGAACAGCAAGGGCTCCAATGTCTGGAAAAAGAACAAGAGAGCCAGTGTGGTTGGCCACATAGGGGAAAAGGACATGAGATAGAAATAACAGCAACAGGGGGTTGTGTAAGTGTCATTTGAAGTCCTCATAGATTCTGCCTCTGAATGTATAGATGGATAGACAGATGGTTCTAGGAACATCCACTTAGGAAAAATAAAGAGAATATAAGAAGAAACAGGTAAAAGATGAGCTCTTGACTCTGAATATTAGGATATTTTGTATTGATAAAACCTGTGCTAATAAAAGCAGCATAAGCTCATTACTAAATTATCAGGAAATAAAATAAAAGTAAGGAATTTTAAAAATTACTCTAATTCCTCCATCCAGATATAACACCTGTTATCATGTTGACATAGGTCTTTCTAGTTTTTTCTGTGTCTTTTTATTTTATGCATATGTCTATACATCTAGTTATACATACCTTCCTGCATATCAATGATCCTTCTATCCATCATCCTTTCATCCATCCACTTTTCCATCCATACTTTTCTGAAACAAAAATAGTCTTATAAGATACTTAGCAGTTTGTATCCTAATTTTTCTAACCAATTTATTAGGATAGTCCAGTTATGTCTTCCCATTTTTAAAAACCAGATCTGAATAGCTACATAATATTCCTTCTTATGAAAGTATGACAGTTGCTTTAACTAACTCCCTACCATTTTTTTTTTTTTTGCCATTACAAAAGATGTTTCACTTGTGCTCTCCTTTTGTCCCAAGTGATAGTGAAAGGGCAACCTTTCTCTAAAGCTTGAGAGACTTAGGAGACTTGAGCTTGATGTGGGGTCATATTGAATCTTCTAACACAAATCAGCTGCCTCCTGAGGTGACATCCCTTCATCTCCACTGTACCCTCTCTGTGGCTGCAGGGAGAATGGAGGCCTCTCCCACAGCGCAGGTGCATTGGCGCAACCATCGGCGACCACGGGCTGTCCTGAGCTGTCAGGCTTTGACAACACAGCCCTCCTGGCATTGTCACAGTGCTGGTGATTCAGAGCTGTCAACTAAAACGCTATGAGGAAACATTTGGAAGGATTTATGGTATGCAGCCGTGACTTTGTGACCCCAGATGGAAAAGTCTTTGAATTAGGACTAGTGTGTGTGGCAAGAGGGAGGAAAGAGGCACTTACCTTACATTAAAAAACAACACATGCCATTTCCTTGAAGCTTCAAATATTCAATGGCTCCCCATTACTTACTGGAAAAATATTAAACAATTGAATGCAGCAAAGAGGTAATGGACGTGATAGACGACTGCCTGGAGAGCTCCAGCAGTTCGTTGGCTTCCCAATGGCTGTGGGACCTGGAGAGTCCCCCACTTTCTTGTGCTTGTTTTCTCCCCATCTCTAAAATTTTCATAGATAGATGATGTAGGAGTATTTGGGTAAATGAGTCAGTGAAAAGTCAGGGTTGTTTCAAAAGTCACTAACGAGGGACTCCCATGTGCTGAAGGTAGAGCTGAGCAAAGCAAAGCAACCCGACTGTGGAACCTACATCCATAAAGGGGACAAGTGGTGGCAGACCAAGAGATATCACAGAACTCTCCGGTAGTGATGAGTTCTGTGTTTATTACAACATGGTGGGGATCCTAGTGACAGGTTTCATGCCAGCTTGATTTGGGGGTCAGGAGGTGGTATCCCCCACAGCTGAAATGACCCAGCAGCTTAGGTTGGGACAAGTTACAGGATGGACTTGGGAGAAATGATCAGGGCCAAGCGATACCCTAGCAAGACCCTCCCTCCTGGCAAAGGAGAGCCTGGTGTTTACCTGAAATGTACATTTATCAGAGGTCCCTCAGCTGGGTTCTAGGGGTTTAAGAACAAACAGGAAAACCTGTTTCCATCCTCACTGGGCTTAGTAAGCATGATGAGAGGAACTGGGAATGCTTCTGAAAAAATATTGACAGGAGCCACCATCCTGGCCCAATAAGGTCAGGGAAGTCTTCCCAGAGGGGGAGGAGGCACCAGTGAAGCCGAGAACAGACCAGGAAACCTACATTTTTAAAAAGGCCAACATAGGGATTGAATTCTAACCTGCCAGTGGTCTGCCTGTCATGCCCACTCTTAGGCACACCTGGGATTTCTCTGAACCCTGAGTGACTGCAGAAAGTCTTCACTCATTTGTAGGAAACTCAGTACATGATAGTAAAAATACATAGAATCACTGAAGTGATTTGCTGCAGTGGTTCTCAAGCTTCAGCACAATCAGAGTCCCCTAGCAGGTCTGTGGAAGCAGATTGCTGGGTCCACATCCTTCATGGGTAGTATTTCCTTAGTTCTATTTTGTCAGTCATGAACCACTCTGATGGCTTCTGGGCAGCATAGACACCCAGACAAACACACACAGGTGCACGGCTGAGGACAAAACCCCAGTTTGCAGTCACATAATTCTGGGTCTTAATTTCAGACCAACACTTTATGGAATTATTTAACCTCTTAGAACCTCTGTAGAATGGGTGTGGGTGCAGGATTGGGTTTGTTGGGATAATTACAAGATGAATGTTATTCTTCAGGGACATTGTCTGTTCCTAGTAGGTTAGGGAACCTCACAGCTTTCTGTCATTTAAAGAGGCACTAGACATAGAATTTCTGGCTCTAAGCCAATTATCTTCTTTATTTCCCCTGGCCTAAGGGTCCATAGTAAAGAATGGGTGGGGAAATCCCTCTCTGCTTACCACATTCTTCCTCTGGCACAACTGCAAGCCTTGATGTCTTTTGCCTGGATTTTTGCAATGACTTCCCAAAGCACGTCTCTTCCCCAGGGCGTCCCTCTAAGCCTGTTCTTCACCATCCCTGAGGAAATCTTTGTAAGGCAGAGGTTCTTGCCGGCCCCTGGCCTGCAAGGAGCTTGGTTTTCTAAAGGCATTCCAATTCAGAATTCTTTAAAACCTCCCATGGGCTAAATCAAACTTGTCCTGGGATGGAGAGCCTAGCCTTGACTGTCAGTGTGTGAGAGCTGTCCTGGAGTACAAAGTGCAAGCATCTTAGCCCGGCTTACAGCTCCTCCTTGCTATTCCCAGCCTGGTTTGAAATTCCTACGACCATCGAATTGTTTGCAGTTCTTACACATAAACCATGCTGGTCCTTAGCTCTGTGCCTTTGACCCACCCTGGAACAAGCTTTCCCTGCTGCTCCTCATTTGCTGAAACCCTGCTAGTCCCTTTAAAATCAGGTCAGGCAACTCCTCCTCCATTCTTTGTTCTCCAACATGGCTTATGTCTCTTTTCCTGGAGCCCCAGTAATAGCTGTTGCTTTCTCTATCGTTATGACTATCAAGTGGTGATACTTATCTCTTTTTGCCTCTACCTTCCCTGCCAAAGTATAAATACCTAAATGTTATTTACCTTTGTGCCTAGCAAATTTGGGGTGTTCAGTCATTGTTAAATGAATGGGGAAGCAGGGGGTCCCCACAATGGTGAACAGTAATCTGAACAGTGTGTGGTGAAAGAGGTGCTTGTATTACCTGCAGGGACAGGCATAGGGGTGGTCATCTCCCTTCCCATCACAGGAGGGGGTAGAAGACAATGAAACTAATGATAACTGAGGAACCCTTGACTTTATCCTTGACTGCTAAAACTGTCTCCACTCATTGGCAATTCAACTTCTCAAGCCCCAGTGGGGCGGCTGCCCACACCAGACCAACTCCGCTGCCCACCTGGCTACTTCGAAGTTCTTATAGACAGAGGCCCATCTTGCCTCAGTGGGAAAGCCCACCTGCTGGAAATTCGGCACCTTCCATGGTGGAACCTTTATCTTAATCTGTTCCAGATACAATAACAATACCACATATTAGGTGCTTATAACAATAGACATTTATTTCTCACAGTTCTGAAAGCTTGGAAGTCTAAGATCAAGGTGCAGGCAGATTCAGTGTCTGATGAGGGCCCACTTCCTCAAAGATGGCACCTTCTTGCCGTGTTTCCCCATGTGGTGGAAGAGGAAAAGGAGTTTCCCTAGAGCTCTTTTGTTAGGGGACTGCTATGATTTGTGTCCCTCCAAACATGTGGAAATGTAATCTCTAACACAATAGTATTAAGAGGTAGGGCCCTTAGGAGGTCATTAGGTCAGAAGGGTGTCTCTCTTGGGAATGAGAGTACAGCCTTTATAAAAGAATCTTCACCAAGCATTTGGACCTTTTCTGCCCTTCCATCCCTTCCACCATATGAGGACACAGTATTCGTCCTTACCGGAGTGTGGAGTAACTTGGTGCCATCCTGGAACCACAGAACAGCTTCCCCAGCCTGCAGACCCTCTGGGAGCTTGATCTTGGACTTTCCAACCTTCAGAACTGGAAGAGTTACATTTCTAATTGTTACCCAGTCTGGCTTTCTTTCTTTTTTTTTATATGGAGGCACAAATGGATTAAAACAGGCACTAAGGCCATTCAGAAGGGCTCCACACTGATGGCCTAATCACCTCCTGAACAATCTTCTAATTCCATCACTTTGAGGATTAGGATTTCAGCAGATGAATTTTGAGCAGGGAGTGGGGGGCACACAAATGTTCAGACCATAGCAATCCCTCTGAAGACCTTTGAGTGTGGGGCAAGTGTCCCATGGCCTGGGTGGTCCAGGGTCCACTGGTTGTCCCAGTGGTTTCAGCTGCTATGAGGTGAATTGAGAGAGGTACCTAGGCTACAAAACTTAAGGAGGGATCACTCAGGGTTGTGCAAGTGCCTCCCGTGACTGACTTTAATTCCAGCCCTGACAGGGCTGACTTTGTGCACAACTTC